CCTTGATATGCATTATTTCAGGTCCTCTAAAGATTTTCCAGATATGCATAGTCTCATCATGCACAGTTACAACTATGATAGTGCTGACTTGCGCGTGGATCACCTGGGGTTCCACAAGGCTTTGTGTGTTCTAATGGGTTGGGACTACTTGAAGCCTCCCGAGAACTCAAGGGCGTATCAGTTTCTTTCTGCTGAAGCAGCAGCAGCAAATGTGGATGATCTGATTATGTGGCCACCTGTGGTGATAATTCATAATACTGTTACGGGAAAGAGTAAAGATGGCCGCATGGAGGGTTTGGGCAATAAAGCAATGGATAGTAATATTAGAGGTATACTCCTTCATAGTTCATATGTGTCATTCTTTATGCTTTTTTCTATCAGAATGTTCTTTGGAGAGGTTGGTCCCAGGTCAAATGCTCTGTACGCGTCCTATTTTAGCTGTGAGCCCTTCCTTTGAATCTTTAAATGCATATAGTATATTCAGAGACCATTTTAATAGATTGACATCTATATTGGATGGAGTCAACCTTTCTTAGATACAGCATGAAGCATGCCTATTCCATAGAATATTACTCCTAGGTTATCCACCCCCTGGGGACTTAAGGTTAAAAAATGTGGCATAGAATAAGCCATAGTATCTCGCAAGGATATTCATAGGGCTTACTGGGAGGTGAAGTGAAAAGAAAAGCCATGCGTGCTAGTACCTTTAGTTTCCTGTCACCCTTTACAGTTTATTTGATTGAGTATGGAAAGGGAAGGTCTAGTTGGTCCATGTGAGGTATTAGTGCCTCCCTTCATAATAGATATTTTTTGTTTTATATATTTTAACGGGACTTCTTGATCTTACTGGAATGGCCTTAGGTCGAGCTTAATGGAAAATACAGAATGCATTTGCAACTGAAGTTTGCAGGGATTATATGACGTGTGGAGATTAGTTGTTCCATATAATCTTCTTTTATGTGCGATACTTGTGTTCTCTATGTGGCAATTAAAGTATGCTTGAGATGAGCATGCGACAAACTGAGCGTAATGTAGGGTTCCTAATTCATGCACTTTGTTATTATTGCATTGCCCTCTAATCACCAGGGAGGAATTTTGATTAGTTGAACCTCATTCTTCACTTTTAATGGTTCCGCCTATGGTTTGTACTCGTAGTAGTCATCGTGTATTTTTTATTGTTGAGGTCTAAGTTTTAAGTCCTATATCACCCTTTTTCAGTCTGCCACCACCCCCTGCCTTTTTCTTGGACCAGTTTGACATTGTTAACCATTTTCTTGCTTTTACTTTTAGACAGATTAGTTCCTAATTCTGTGATCTAGTGACTTGGGACCAATGTATTAAAAGCATGAGGCATGGGCAAGGCGTCCGAGGGTAAGCCTGGCCTAGGCCTCAAAGCCTCACGGGATTAATTTTTTGTTATATATTATACATATAATTGTATAAAAATAATACTTTGTAAAATAAACATCCATTCTCAATTTATCATTCAAATCTATAGTCATTCAAAAGATAATATCATCTAAATTTATTATTCGAAGGTAATATCATCCAACTTCATCATTCAAAAGGTAATACAAACAAAGAAAACAATCATTCATCCAAATCCTCTTCATCTAAATCAAAATACAAACAAAGAAATCAATCATTCATCCAAATCCTCTTCATCTAAATCAAAGGCAACATCATCCTCTTCATTGCCAAATCTAGATGAACTTGTACGGTATGTCATCAATTTCCTTGTACTGTGTCATCATATACTTTTAAGTCATTAGTGGCGTCAGAAAAGCTTCCCCAGTACAGATGGTGAAAGCAGGTTTAAAAAGAAATAAAAGACCTGCTCCAGATTTATTTCCTACCCCAGAATTATGAATACACATTGCTCCTCAGAATTATGTCCACTGCTCCAGATTTATGTCGCACCCAGCCCTATCCCAGAAAGCTCCCTCTTTCCTACCCCTATCCCAAATTGCTCCCATATCAAGCCAAAAGTATTACATCACAGACTCACAATTCACACCAGTTATAAAAAATAAAAAAATAAAAATAAAAAAATTAAAAAAAAACCCTAACCTTTAAAATTGGGGAATTGTGGGCTTGTTGACGGCGCTGGGGTGACGGCGGCATGGCGACCGGTGCTGCTCCAAGTGGGCGGCGGCTGCTGTGTTCTGGCGCGCGGGAGTCTGGAGAAGAGGGTGAAGAAGGGAGAGGACGATCAAAGGTATGGTCCCCGTATGGACGGATTTCTGGATTAAAACTAAAAACCCTTACCCAAACGGTGTCATTTTGGGTTTGGGTGGTTTTTTTTTTTTTTTTTTTTAAAAAAAAAAAGAAAAGAAAAAAGGGCAGACAAGGCGTTTGGACGCCTTGAGGCACGCCTCCACCGCCTCGGCGTCTCTGGCGGAGCCTTTCGCCTACTCCATCAAAACAGAGGCGTCAGCCCTTGTGCCCAACCTTAGAGGACGCCAAGGCGCGCCCTAAGGCGAGCCTTTTAAAACATTGCTTGGGACATGCAATAACTACCTCTGTGATCCAGTTCAGACCAAATTTTTTAATTTATCTCAGTCGAGCTAGAATGTTGTACTTACTTTTTATAGCTGCATTTTCTTTACAACCCTTCTTATTTGATTTGATTTCTTCATTTTAAATTGTGTGGTGAATGAAATAATCCCGACACATAGGCATGGCTTTTCTTCATACCTGTACAACCGCTCTTAGTGCTGGTTAACAATGAGGGAATCAGGGTTAGGATTACCAGGATCTTGGGCTTCATTATCAAAGATCATCAAGAACAAAGATTTTTTTGTGAGGATTACCGGGATCTTGGGCTTCAATATCAAAGATCATCAAGAACCAAGAATTCTAAAGGCTACGGTAGCTAGTTGTAGCTTGCTAAATGTCTTGGTTGCATCTGAATTCCAATCTCTGTCAATTTGTCTTAAATTTTCCGTTGAAACTTTTTTTTTTTGTTTTGTCATGAAATGAAAGGATGTGTTAGTTTCCTATTTGATGGTTTGGGTGTTGTCTCATGCTGGGTGATCTTGAGGGGGAAGAATGCTTGTGTCTATTGTCAGAACTTTTCGTCCCTCACCTACACCTGCAACCGAATTGAAAACCAGTGGTTTTAAGTGGGTTTGGACCTCTTATCACATCCTTTCCCCCATCTTTTTGCCAAATTTTTTATCCTACATAATAAACTTCGGATCCTCCAAGTCCATGGACTTGAACTTCAACCCAGTTCAGCCAAAAGTGGCATAGTGGATAGATCTCTTACTGAACTGAGACAACCAACAAGGGGCACTGTCTGGCAGAACGAGCAATGTTCTTGCAGATCCTTCATAGATAGAACCTAGATAAACTCGAGAGGATAACTCTAACGTTAGATTTTAACCTTTTGGTAAATGGCTTTTGCTTGTTTAATAGGCTTGGTTGCTAGTTAGGCAGTTCCTTACCAACTCTCTAACTTCTGCAGCATAACATAAGATTTCAGTTTGTCCTAGCCTTTTCAGTCAAATGCAACATGATGCCAGTTGAATAGGATTACGATGGTGACCTTAGCCTGGGCGGAGAGTTGGTCCCTTGTGATACATGCACACAAGTTTGTATTTATAGTTTACTTTTCAGTGGATATGAAGAAGTTACGTTGTTGCATACTACATTATATTAGGAGAATTTGAGGTGATACATCTGGGTTTGGAACCAAGTCGAGGAAAGGCTGGGTGAAAAGGTGGTGTTGCCGTTAACATATAATACTTTCTATTTTGTTGGGTTTTTGATAGTTTATCATTCTTTGACTGGATCTTTTATGCTTATGTATGTTACAATCGATATTTGCAGTCTGTCATTGTTGTTAGTCTGATATATTAGCGTTTGAGGCTCTACGCTGTTTTTTCTATATGTTTGGCAACTCGGGTTAATCGAGTCACAAGTATATATGGTATGTTAACATTGTACCATGTTGGAACATTTTGACATTGGTCTGGTGGTCATCAACAAAGCCGTTTTCTTAATGGTTCTTAACGATAGGGACATGGGGGCTACTTTAAGCACTTTTATGGCTGTAGGCAGCCATTATCATGACATTTCATGTGGATTGATTAGGTCCTTTTGACAAGTTGCATGTTTTCTCATGGAATTTCTGGTAAACAGATCTTGGATTTGGAAGTGGGAAGTCGAAATCCTTATATGGTAGAGATGGTCATTTGGGTATGACTCTGGTTAAGTTTTCCGGTGACGAAGCAGGCCTAAAGGATGCCATTCGAATGGCAGAGTTCTTTGAGAAGGAAAATCATGGGCGCAGGGGCTGGGCTCGTGTACAGCCGCCAACGCTGGGCAGTAGGGATGATGATAACAATCCAAACCTTGTCAAGTTTGATGAAAAGACGCGGGAGAAGAAGAGGATCCTATATGGCTATCTCGGAACAGCTTATGATCTTGACAAAGTTGATTTCGACACAAGAAAGAAGGCCGTGATCGAAAGCCTTAGGGAGTACAAGTCATCCAAGTAGATTCGTGGTAACATTCAAGGTATCGATGTACGTTTTAATATATGCCATTTATTACTTTTAACACCATATGGTCATCAACCTCAAGGCCTTTTCGTTTCCTTGTTTGGGTTCAGCCATCCCGTCTCATGGCATCGTAGGTGATGGAAGCTCTACGTAATATACGAGCAGCATTCTCTAATGTCGCAAGGCCGAGGCGTGAAGCCCGTTCGGATGCCTGCCGATCATTCTTGGACGGAGTTTTTTCGTGCTACAGCTCTTGGTGTGTTGGGATATAAAGCAAGAGAATTCAGTGTAGCAAAAGGATTTATTACGAGCGCTTGTATTTGTATGGTTTCTGAGATGAACAACTTGTATGGCAGCCAATAATTGCTTAGTAACTTTTATTTGGTGAATAGTAAGCGTTTAATGGCTACATGTTGGTTGTATAATTGCTCAACATTTGCCATGGGCTTCAGTGTCACGTGCTCAATGCTCCTAATAATCGGTTAATCACGTGACACAAAGAGGGTTGAAGTTCCTCTGCCCCACCCACTCGCAAAAGCCCGATTCATTGAAGCCTTTGTCTGTGTGTTAGTTATACAGCTAATTTACACCCACTCTATTTATAATTTGGAAATCCCACAACGTAGCAGTTGATGGTTGAATTTTTTTTTTTTTAACGATTTAGTTATTAAAATCATTACAAACTAGATTCAAAATGATTACATAAAAAAAAAAAAATTTAAAAGCCGTATTTACTTTCACGATGTGGAAGACTCAAATTGGTACCAAGGAGAGAGAGCCGAGGCAAAGGAAGATCATCGTCCACCAAAGACCATTGCTGCAATGATCGAGCCGAAGACGTCATCCAAGCTTGTCTCAAAACTTTTTCGTTCATAGATTGGCTCGCTGTCTCAAAGTTGGGATCAGGGGTTGCGATGGGGGACTGGCGGTTGTAGCTGGCTTGGTGTCACTGTCAACCGAAGATTGGGATGAGTTGGCTGTTGGGTTGAAGGGAAGCGAGTTGGGGTTGGTTGGTGCGGTCATGGTGAGGAGGTGAGGGGGAAGGTTGACAACAACGATGGTATGATGGTTCTGCAGTCGAATCAATGATGGTCTTTTTTCTTTTTTTATTTTATACTTCTTTTTTGTTATTATTTTCATATTAATTCTTTTATTTTTCACTATGTTACACTGCTTAATGAGAATGTGTGGCACATTAACATACAAACAAAATTTTGGCGGAATTTTAACAAACGCATCATATTAATTTGAGGCATTCATATCCAAGTATTATATGAAATAATTTCATTTTCCGAGACTATCTTGATACTATTAGTTAATTTTAAAGACTATCTTGATATTGTAGGAATTTTTCAAGGACTACTTATAAAAGACCCTTCTAAAATATGAACTCGTAAAGTAGTTACATTATGTAATGATATTAGGCAAATCAACTTAAATAACACGAGCATACGCTATTGTAATGTTTGATGCAACGTCAGTAATACAAGACGTCACAAGACTACATGTGCTCAATTTAATGATCCCATAACAACGCTGTCAACAACAATAATTTGACGTCATAACAATAACTATTTGAACCCATAATATCACTATAACAACAACAATAAAATCAAGTCATGCACAATCCATGTCAGTGTCGTCAGTCGTTGAATTATTGAAATATCGTTATAATGTTATTAGATTGCACCGAGTTATGTGTAACCCATGCACACGACCCGGTGCGCAGGATAAAACATTAGGAAAACTAATGAAAATGGCTTGAAAACTTTGAGTTTTAATGATAAGAACAAAATAAATGATAAAGTAAATAGTACTAGGATTGACTTTTTAGTGTAAAAATGTGGTTTTTCGTTAAAATGAACAGTACCAGGAATATTTCGTTAAAGTTCCCTGAAACAATTGTAACTTTGTGTAGTTGCCCACCATCGCCTGCTATGGCAAGCTTTCTAAGGTTCATATGTCAATCTTCATAGCTATGAACCATATCTGTGCTGACTGCTGAGCATGAAGACGAATTTGGAAAAGATAAAAATTGCATTACAAGGACGAAAATGAAATGCCCGACACACTAAGGGACGAATAATGTAAAATTGCCTATTTTCTATTTTGTATGTATGCGTATGACCAGTATGGATGGTATGTATTGCGTTTGAAGTGACTTTGAGTGAGTGTTTTATTTTATTTTTTTAATCCTTCATCGCGCATTTATTTGTTGAAGTTAATAATTTTTATTGTTCAACTTAATATTTAAGTATACTTAATATCTAAGAATTTTCATCGCGCATGTATTGTGTTTGAATATACTTAACATATAAGTATGTACTTTTGAAATGTAATTATTCAATAAAAAAACTATTATCATATATGATCATGGAATAATGACTATATCACGTGAATAACGTAACCTAACAAACTTCCTTTTGCTTACACACGAAGATGGAAGTATGGAAGACTCTAAATACGTTTTAAGCATTGGATTTTTGTTTAAATGCAAAGAACCGAATACTCGAAGCACACAAAAAACATTTGAAGCGTAGATAATGAATGTGTGACAGACGGCTGACTCATCATGACGCGCATGCGGTCATTGTTTGTTCACATACATGCACGACTACATAATCCGGCACTTTATCTCACAATCCAATCCCATTCCTATTTCTATTCCTATTCCCATGTGGTGCTCTCAGTGGGCCTGCCCCACCCCCACACCCGCCTCTTCCAGCTTTTTCTCCCTCGATCCAGCTTCGATTTCCGGGAAAGCACAATACCCTTATCCAAACACCCCCTTATCCTACGTCATCCTCCCCTCTTACTCCCACTTTACCGTTTCCCTTATCCTGCGCACCCTCCCCTCCCGCCACCAGCGCACTCTAGTCACCTTTTCGAGACGCCTCCGCACGTGTCAACCCTTCCTTCACCCACGTCAGCGCAATGTCTTCTTCTTTCTCCTGTCCACCGGCTGTCTTAGCTTTAGCTTAAGCTCACTGCTTAAGGTTTTGCTTTCTCTCTCTCTCTCTCTCTCTACCTCCGAATTCTAGGGTTTCTCCTTTCTCTCACTACCATATCTTGTTCCCCTTTGGCCGCTGACTGCACCGTACGACGATCATGGGGTCGATCCCCGATCCCGGCGAGTTGACCGAGTCGACTCCGCCGAGCTTCGACGAGTTCCAGCGGCAGACCTCTCTCATGACCAGCTGCACTCTCCTCTGGAAGGAGCTCTCCGACCACTTCTCGTCCCTCGAGCAGAACCTCCTGAAGAAATCCGAGGCCATCAAGCTCAAAATCCAGACCCTGGAGCACGAGACCAAGGCCTCGCTCGACGAGCTCGAGCAGCGCGAGGTCTCGATCAGGGACATCTTCGAAGTCGCGCTTGGCAAGGTTGAGAAGAGCAAGGAGGCGGCGCTCAAGGTGTTGAAGAGAGCCCGCAGCGACGACGAGTACGGGGAGGTGGACGACGGCGAGGGGTTGCTGATGAATCTCAAGTCGTTGTGCTTGAAGATGGATTCTGGAGGGTTTTGGAGGTTCGTGACGGCGAGGAAGAAGGAATTGGAGGCTCTGAGGTCGCAGATGCCTCTGGCTTTGGGCGATTGTGTCGATCCGGCGAAGTTCGTGCTAGAGGCGATATCGGAGGTGTTCCCGGTGGACAAGAGAGTGGAGAGGAGCGATAGGGGAAACGATTTGGGCTGGGCCTGCGTTCTGTTGCTCGAGTCACTGATTCCGGTGATGATGGACCCGAAGATCGGGAGAAAGAGGCTTCTGGTGACGCGGAGCGTGAAGCAACGCGCCATCGAGATATCCGAGACCTGGAAGGCCAGCTTGGAGGAGAGAGGCGGCATAGAGAACGTGAAGACTCCTGATGTGCACACGTTCCTGCAGCATTTGGTGACTTTCGGGATTGTGAAGGAGGAGGATGTTGAGTTGTACAGGAAGCTTGTGGTTAGCTCAGCCTGGCGCAAGCAGATGCCGAAGCTCGCTGTTTCGCTTGGCCTCGCCAAGCAAATGCCGGGTGTGTTCCCTAATGCTAACTTGTGCCTTTCTTTTATTGTTGTTATTTGTAATTGTAACATTTTCGATGCAGTTCTTTTGCCATTGCTTGGTGTTGCTTATAGTTCATGGAAAATGTGTTACTTTATAAGCTCTATATATGTAGGATGATGAAGTGGTGGTTTTTATATGTGGTTAGTAAATTTTGAGTGAAGAGGTCGCACTTGGTGCGATGGCAAGTGCCTTCGCCCATGAGCGGTAGGTCTCGGGTTCGAGACTTGGGAGCAGCCTCTCCATAAATGGGGGTAAGGCTAGCCGACATTCACCTCTCCCAGACCCTGCGTAAAGCGGGAGCCTTGTGCACTGGGTACGACCTTTAGTAAATTTTGAGTGAGACATGTGTAATTTTTAGGTCATGTTATTTCCCCGACAGTGGCTTCTATGTCGAAATGTCTACTCTTTCCAATGATAAATTGTAGAATTGTTTAATAGTAATTCATATGATCGGCATTACTCTTCAGCTGTTCCCAATGTACTGTTTACCTTATAAATCGGATATTACTGTGGTATGTGTTTCTTTTATATATCACATTTTTCTGTAAGAAACAAAACTCATACATGACTGTATGTTGGACTGCCTATATCCCAAACATTTTTTAATTCGAACCTCTGACCTTCCATTGAAATCAGAAATTGTGGATGGTAGAACTTCAATGTTTTAACATTACGGTGGTAACTCATGGACCTTGTGGTAGTTTCGTAAAGATTTGCTTTTTCCTTCCGTCTTGTCATCTGTGTTAGTTGGGAATGTTTTGATATGGTTCTTTATACATACAATAAAGAGGGCACCATTCTCCAATTTTTAATGTTTGGAGGTTGTTACTATGTGTGCAGATATGATTGAAGAATTGATCAGCAGGGGACAGCAGCTTGATGCGGTGCATTTCACCTATGGGGTTGGACTTGTGCACAAGTTTCCTCCTGTTCCTCTACTGAAAGCTTTTCTGAAGGATGCTAAGAAAGCTGCGGCTTCTATTTTGGAAGATCCCAATAACGCTGGGCGAGCTGCGGTATTATTTTAATCATTGCATCTGTTCTTGTTCTTGATCTCGTATGTCATGACTTTCAGTCCTGAATGTGCATCTCAAAGTGTGTGTGTGTGTGTCACCTTCTGGTTCCCATAACTCCCCGTCATTTCCTTAAAATTTCCTTTTTCCCACTCCCCCTTTCTCAAATGATTGGGAGGAGAGAGAGAGAGAAGAAAGAAAAGGGAAGGGATCTTATGCCTTTTTGTTTGTGCATAAAGTAGAAGAGGGAACTCCCCTGCCCTTGCAAAAAACTCTCTCCTTTAATGGAGTGAATGACAGCCATCTACAAGATATGCATGATATTAACATCTTACCCTTTACTAATTATTACATGTGAACATGATCATATTTCTTTCCCACAGTTCTT